CTCCGCCAGTAAATGGGAGGATCCTCAAGCCACATTATCATTCCACACAAATTGGTGATGCGCGCAGCAAAACGTGAATTAGTTGGGCGGTCACATCTAAAACTACCGTCATGGCCTAACGGTCAACGGCTCCTCTACCCTTCCACTCTGCGTCTTTTCTTTTGGTTAAGTTAATGTTCTTTTTTATTTTTCAACTTTATTTCACTAAATATTCTAAATTTAATTATGGCTTAATTTTGTCCTTCAATGTGAAGGATTTCCTCCATAAATCATCCTATCATTAACTTGTATTTGCGTACTGTTTATGAGTTTTACATTATATTTTTTTAATATTTTTTGAATTCAAGATGCCTGTTAATTCTTTTGGATGAAGTTGAGCAATAAAAATTACTTTTAACTCAATAATTATAATAAAATATTAAAAAATAAAATGTGTGGCCCACAAAAGGTCGAGAAAATGATTAATTAACAACAAGGTGATAATAAAAGGAGTTTTTAATATTGAAGGGCATGATTGATCTAAAATTAGTTTATGATGCCCAACTAGTAGTCTTTTAAAATAAAATTGAAATGTAAAAATGATATTTATTTTTTTTTTGGATTAACACTCTGCATCTTAGTTGAACATTAGTTGTTATTATTTTAGATGGCTCAAATTTAATCTTTTATAAATATATTATTAACATATTAAATCATAACAAATGAAGATTAAAGTTTAAACTTTTAGAAGAATTTGATTTTACATTCTCAAATTATATAAAGAAAAAATGAAAAGAAATTCCATATAAAATGTTGAGAATTAATAGTTATTTTTTGTCCCTCCAACTTTACACAAAGAGTCATTAAAAACTCTAAAGTCAATTACAAATCATTTATATTTTTAAATATTAAAAATTCTCTCCTTTATTTCGCCGTCAAAGAACACTTAAGTGTCTATAAATTATCAATGAGTTTCACTATTTTTAAATATTTTTTATTAGATTAAGAATCATTCTTACTCATAAACTTTTATTTGAATGGTCAGTGAGTACTTTTAATTCAAATATTTTATAATAAAAATATTAAAAAAAATATGTGGCTTATTAACGGTCAATTAAAGGTAAAAAAATGGCAAAATGATGAAAGATAAAATCTTTAAATTTGAGAAACATAATTGACTTATAGTTGAATTTAGAATTTTTAGTAATTTTTCTGGTAAAGTGGAGAAATAAAAATGACATTTAACCCAAACATTAAATTTGAACCGCCAATTAATCCATCAATTAAATGATGGTTCACGTTAGAAGAAATGAAATGAAGGATTCGGCGGGGAAAAAATAAATCCAGGGGAAATTAACATTTGTAAACACCACGATAACGAAACAATATCATAATATCTCTTGGCAAAGCGTGGCACATGAACTAAAACATGATAAATCGATGCATTATTGTGCTCACGTTCGAATTAATCTAACCTCGCCAAGGCGGTTTGGATTGGGCTTTATAGACATGCCTCTTGAGCTAGACATAATTCTTCTTTTTGATCTGAACTCTCTAATCGTTGGCATTTAATTTAGAGATGGGTTATCATTATGTGACTAATTTTACATCCTCAGAGAAGGTGGACCTGTTCATACTCGGAGGCTAATTTCTCAAATCAAATTCAACCATCACGTACGCATCTCTCTCTCTCTCTCTCTCTATCTCTCTCTATGTATGTATGTATATCAATCCATAGTACAGATGCAGATTTAAGCTAAATACACCGATAGTTTTCAGCTCCATCTCTTGAAAATGACAGCTTCATCCTCAACTCAGAAAATCATCAATAACTCGTCTCAAGTTGCAGTGTGAAGACCCACCCTCCATTAATGCATGCCTACTCAACTCACTCATCTGCTTCACCTTCTTTCTCACCTCACTGTCATTCTGCATCACTTGTTTTATCCCTTTCTCTATCCTCTCTGCACTTATCACCTCCGAATTCCTTACCCCGTCGAACTCTATCGTATAATCCAATGAGATCTCCACACCCAGTTCCAACTCTCGTATCAGCTCGAATGCATTCACTTGTTGCTCTGAATAAAGCGGCCACGTGGCAATCGGCACGCCATGATATATGCTCTCTAGTATTGAGTTCCACCCACAATGCGATACAAATCCTCCCACCGCTTCATGGGCCAAGATCTGGGCCTGACGGGCCCACCCAATTACTCTTCCAATCTCTGCCGTCCGCTCCGTGAATCCTTCTGGTAACACTTCTTCCACGTTGGAGTAATCACTCGGAGGTTTCATCGAACCCTTCGGCGGGGGCTTCCGCAGAGACCACACGAAGCGGACACCACTTCTTTCAAGGGCGCGTGCGATTTCTGTCACTTGATTATCGTCGTCAAAGCAACCCCGACTTCCAAAGCACAAGAACAAAACGGACGACGGAGGTTGATGATCGAGCCACCCCAAGACGTCGTCGTCTGAACCTCGGCGAGCCGAACTGTTGTCCACCCCACTTAAGATGGGTCCCACCGGATGAACGGCGATGTCACCGTTGGCGAAGGAGCGAATTGCATAGGGTTCGAGCTCCTCAAACGAATTTACTAGAATACCCTTTGCCTTCTCGTGCCCTCTTGCGTGATTGAGCAGACATGACCGCCACTCCTTATCCGACGTCAGGGCAAGAGGGAAAACACTAGCGGGAACAAGGTTCGCGAAACTCGGGATAGCGAACTCAGCGCCGAGTTCTTGAAGTTAAGCGCAGTCGTATCAACGTTCTCTCGTTCCACGAGCGTGGGACTATGAAGCATCATCCCAAGAGAAGCGGCGCCCGAGGTAAAGAAAACCATGGAAGGAACCCCGAACTCATTAGCCACGTCAATCATGGTGGTGCAGAACATGTCGACGATGAAGCCGGCAAGCGGAGGCGAGTCGGGGCCAGAGTTGAGGTTGGACACGGCGTCTCTGACGGAGGGTTTGTGGTTTTGGATGAGAGAGTCCATGGAGAGAAATGGATGAAGAGAGTGAGAATTGGCAGGGTTGGGGTGTGAAGGAAGGAGAAGGAAACGAAGACGTTTAGGGAAGGAAGCGGAGGAAGTGAGGGATTGAGCGTAGGCGTCGACGGTGGGGTCAAAAGGTGCTCTGATGATGAGGACGGTGATGGAAAGGTGGCCATTGTGGTTGATAAGAAGCTTAGCAAACTCTACGATGGACACCAGGTGACCCATTCCAGGACAGGGCACGAACAATAGCTGCGATTTCTTCATCTTTTGCGAATGCAATAACATGTCCGGATCCGGAGCTGACTGTTCGTAAATACTCCCTCCGTTTTTATTTGTAGAAACTATCACTTTTAATATAAGTAAAATTAAATTTTTTAATAGACATTTATTATAAATCCTCTAAATAATTCCTCATAATTTTATTATTCATAATTATAAAAAAAATTAATGAATGTTTGATTAATTCAATTAATAAAGGATATTATAATTTAATTTTTTTATTTTTAAAAATAATTAATATATTTAACTGCTTTTTTTTTAAATTGTGTGATATAGTTTTTTTATAAATAAAAAAAGAAATATATATATATATATATATTTTCTTGTTCATTTTACGTGGACCGTACGTAAATACTGCTACAAAATAGAGTTTTCCCATGACCACAAATTTTGATAGCCACTAATTATTATTATTATTATTATTATTTTGTGTGTGGTGGGACCAAAAAATTATTGCTTGCACTATAGTACTTATTAGTTCTTACAATGACACGATGTGGCTCGTGGCTATCTGCTGCCCACATGAACAACGGGAGCCGTTTCATTCATGTGTTCACCGCATCGAGGCACCCTGAGGATCTTGAACCCCAAACAGAGCGGACGGTCGGACCGCCAATCGAGACGCAAGCAGCTATGTTTGGCATTGCATGGACAACATAGTCGTCATTGACCCTTTTACCTCTATCTTACTTACCACGTTTCCTCTTTTTGAAATTTCATTCATTGCACATTTAAAAGTTCTTATTTAATGTCCTTTTTTCTTATTTCTTCCAATATTTTTTTTATACAACTCATTAAAATTTTAACAAGTCTTTACAAAAATCTCCCTCCCTGCACAAATTGAGTTTCATCTATTACTCCAAAGCAATCTTTTTATAAAATGATTTTCCCATATATACCTCCTAATTATTAGACTACAAAGTTCCTTCCTTTAGACTGAATAACAGTTGGGTATTTATCATTGCGTGCATGACAAAAGTAATAAATGTTAATGGAGTGAGTGACAGTACTACTGTATGACGGAATAAAATAATTATCCAAATTAATCCATACTTTTAAAATAAAAACTATCAAATTTGAATAATCTAATCTAATTTAGCGTACTTGATTTAAAAAGTTTCGTCCACTCTAGTAGGAGGAAGCCAACTCCACTTCAAGGGTGGTAGTTCGCTCCAAGCCAAAGTGATAGAAGCTTACCTAGAAGGCAATTGCAACTGAATGTTGCCGTGTGGGGCTTTGTTTCTGAGATGCAAGGATAACAAGACAACAAGACTACTTTAAAGAAGATCATAACATGTGACATGTATATTTATTAACGCAGGAAACCGAAAGACAAAACATTCAGTAGTGACAGATGTTGAAACAGAAACTTAACAAACTAATTATTAATACAATAACTTTACGTATTCCTAATAAAAACTCTAAACAGGTAGACTTGATTATGACAGATTACCACCATTAGGATATAAAAGGACATTGAAAGTGATTTTGACTAGAAATGAAAAGTCGATATATATACCCTCCATTTTTTTTTTCTACTTCCAACTCTCACAAGCCACAGATTCACTCCCAATTCAGGATATCTCGAATGAAACGTCCAACGTAGGAGTGGGAAGATCCACCCTCCATTAAAGCTCTCTTTCTTATCTCACTCATTTGCGTCACCTTCTTCCTCACCTCACTTTCCTTCTTCATCACTTCTTTTTTACCTTTCTCTATCCTCTCTGCAGTTATCAGCCCAAAGTGGTCTCATTGCCGAATCCGTTCCTGTAATCCAATAACATCTCTATAATTATTCTCAGCACTCGTGCCATTTGAAATGCGTTTGACTATTGCTCCGCATATATAAAGCGGCCACTTGGTGATGAGCACCCCATACTCTCCACTATCAAATTCCACTCACAATGAAACACAAACCCTCCTACCACTTTGGGTGCCAGGATTTAGGTTGTGGGGACCACCCCATCGCTCTTCCGATCCCCGCCGTTCGATCTAAGAATCCTTTTAGTAAGACTTCTTCTTGGTCAGAGTAATCGCTCGCCGCTCCCATCGAACCCTTGGGTGGGGGCTTCCTTATAAAGACCATATGAAGTGGATGCCACTTGCTTCAAGAGTGCGTGCGATTTCCATCACTTGATTCTCCTCCTTGGAATACCCCACACTTCTGAAGCACAAGAATAGAACTGATGAAGGAGGCTGGTCATCTAACCACTCCATGACATCTAATTCTAATACCGTCTTGTTGTCCCTTGAACTTGAGATGGGTCCCATGGGATAAACAGTGAGATCAATGTTGAAGAAAGATTGTATAGGATAGTGCTCAAGCTCCTTGAATGCATCAACTATCACGCACTTTGCTTGTGGGATAAAATTTAATGAAGTGCTTGAATCTAGAAGTCTTTTTCAACAAGTGAGATATTAAAAAAGTAAGCTCTAACAAGAGCAAGCAATTTGATATAGGCGAGCATCTGGGAATCTGTTCCAACAAGTAGTAAAAGATCAAGCTATGGAAGAATTGAGTAGTTTGATCATATGGAAGCTCTAGAAAACCTTTATAATAGATAGGGTATTGCTGGATTTGACCATTAACGAATGAAGAAACCTTGAGAGGTGTAGCTTGAAGACACCGTTTGTATGGTTCAAGAAAAATGGCGCCCCTTCATTTCTCGACATAACACCGGGGAAAACATAGGCAAGAACATGGTTTTCAAACCTCATGATAGTAAACTCGAAGCCCCAGTCCTTGAAGTTAAGTGCCGTCATATCAACATTCTCTTGCTCCTTGAACGAGTGAATACGAAGCATGAACTCAAGAAAAGCAGTGCCTGAGGTGAAAAAGACCACGACGAGAACCCTAAACTTAGTGGCAACATCTATCAAAATGGTGCAAAACATGTCGACCAAGAACCTGGCTAGCCGGGTAAGTTAGGGCCTGAGGTGAGTGTGGACAAAGCATCTCTGACATTGAGCTTTTAGCCTTCGATGAGCGAGTGCAAGAGGGAAGAAAGAATAAGAGGGTGCTAGTTGGTAGGGTTAGGGTTAACAGGATGTGGAGGAAGTAGTGAAGTGAAGCTGATTAGGGAAGGAAGAGGAAAAGGTAAGGAAGTATGTATAGGCTTCTTGTAATCCAGCAACATATCTTAAAAAGAAAATGGCCATGGAGAATAGTGCTTTTGCTTCAAGATAGTTCTTATTATCAAAAGAAAAATTAGTATAAGATTTTTCCCTGGATGCATATAGTCGACAAATTTTTTTGGAAGCCATCTCCCTGCTAAAATTTTTCTTGTTGGATTTGATGTGTATTGAGAAACTAAAGATCTGTAGATACTCCCAAGAGGTATTTGATTAAAATAGTTTTTCAAGAAATACACTGATATTTCAAGTATTATAGAGATTCAAAAAGCTCTTTCAGGATATGAACACATCAGTGATCTTGAATTTTACTGTGAAAGTCATGATTAATTTCAACATTCATTTTCTTTATGAAAAAATAATAAATTTTTCATTAAACTCCCTTTCAAAATGAATGAAGATGTTAATCCTACAAAGACATTTCATCCTGGCATGAATCCAGAAGATCTTGCATTGGTTAGAGAAGAATGTGCAACTTTGCTTAAACAAGGCCTTATTGAGCCCATAAAGTCAAATTGAGCCTATTAAACTTTTTATGTGAAAAAAAGATATGAAAAACAAAGAGAAAAAAGGGGCTATTAATTGATTATAAGCTTCTTAATACTCTCCTTCAAAATTACAAGTTTCTTTTGCCCAATATCAACACCTAGTTAGTACATCTAAAGTGGGCCAAGATATTTTTAAAGTTTGATTTCAAAATAAGATTTTGGCATTTGAAGATAGATCTTATAGATAAACAGAAGATGACCTTCTGCATTTCAAATGCCCAATACAATGGATAGTCATGTCTTTTAGACTCAACACTGTCCCATCACTTGTTTTGGGGAAGATGATGGGATTTTGCCCAGAGTAGTCTTCGCAGGTGATAAGAGATTGATCAACGAGATCCGCCCTCGTTTTCATTTTCTTAAAATAGAGATTTATAGATATATCGTAAAAAATGTGGAGATCTTTGGTGGTTTAATTTATTAATGAACTGTTTAAGAGCCTTGGCTAGTGTGTTGATAAGCTGAGAACCCTTGACACAGACGTGGAGCATCCTTACGGTGACCACTGACAGCTACCACGGTCCCACAAACACGTTGGTTTGGGTGCCTCTTTTGAAAATGCACCAAAAGGGGAAAACACTTGGATCTGGCCTCAGTGGGGTGATCGGATGAACACAAATCCAGTCCCTTTAGATCAAATCACTAAAATCAGAACCGTCTAAACTTGATATTAATTGTTCTTTTTTATATATAATTTTTTATTTTAACAGATGCATGATAAAAAAATTTTAAAAATAAATTTATTATTTAAAAGTCAGAATTTAAACAATCTCAATTAAATTTGAATGGTTTAGAACTGACGCATAGTTGGTTTCAAAGACGTCAGTGGTAGCATTGGGCCGAATGTTCTTTTTCAGTCTGAGACAGCTGGGTTAAGTCCTTGTAGGATGGGAACTTGATAATTATTACTCAAAATGGGTCCCCGGACTAGAGCAATTTGGCAATTATTAACTTGAAATCAATTACCGATATGGCGATATAGCAGTACCCCATCAAATAACAGTGCAAAGACTTTTTTCTAAGAAATCTTATCTTCTTATAATAGCCAAATGACAATTAAATTAGTTGTTCAGCTGGTAAGTTATACAACTCCTTGATCCAAGGTTCAACTTTTATAAGTCGCGATTAACTCTCTCATGATTCACAAATAATTGACGATAATACCTTGTAAAAAAAAATTAAAAAAGATTAAAAGGAACAATAACAATATCATTCCTAACTCAGTAAATCATGGATAAAGCGTCCTAAAGAGGAGAAGGATGATCCGCCCTCCATTAAAGCCCTCCTACTCAACTCACTCATCTGCTTCACCTTCTTCCTCGTCTCACTCTCTTTCTCCATCACTTCTTTTATCCCTCTCGCAATTGTCTCTGCACTTATCACCCCCGATTTGCCTACGTTCCCGAACTCGCTCCTATAATCCAATGAGATCTCTAGGCTCATTTTCAGCTCTCGCACCAGTTGGAACGCGTTCACTTGCTGCTCCGCATGAAGGGGCCACGTGGCAATTGGCACGCCGTAATATATACTTTCCAGTATTGAATTCCACCCGCAGTGTGACACAAACCCTCCCACAGCCTCGTGGGCTAGAATTTGGGCCTGTGGAGCCCAACCCATCACTCTCCCAAGCTTAGCCGTCCTCAGCAAGAATCCTTCTGGTAATATTTCTTCCACATTCGAGTAATCACTCGGCGCTTCCATCCAACCCTTAGGTGGGGGCTTCCTTAAAGACCACACGAAGTGGACACTACTTGCTTCAAGAGCGCGTGCCATTTCTGTCACTTGATTTTGGTCCAAGTAACCCCGACTTCCGAAGCATAGGAATATCACTGAAGAAGGGGCTTGATCATCAAGCCACCGGATGACACCTGATTCTTGTGCGACCGTCTGGTTGTCTCCTATACTTAAGATAGGTCCTATGGGATAAACGGTAAGATCACTGCTGGAAAATGACTGGATCGCATGGGATTCTAGCTCGTCAAATGTATTTACTATAATGCGCTTTGTTTTCTTTATCCAACTCGCTAGATTCAACACGAATGGAGCCCAGTCCTTGTCCAGCCAAGGACCAGGGAAAACACTAGCAGGAACGTGGTTAGCGAAACTCGGGATGGCAAACCCAGTGGCCGAGTCGTTGAAGTCAAGCGCAGTCGTGTCAACGTTCTCTCGCTCCCAGAGCGTGTGGACGTGAAGCTTGAACCCAAGAAAAGCAGCGCTTGAGGTAAAGAATATGATGGCTGGAACCCTGAAATCGGCGGCCACGTCAATCATGGCGGCGCAGAACATGTCCAAAACGAACCCGGAGAGCTGGGGCGAGCCGGGGTCCGAGACGAGTTTGGACACCGCGTTTCTGACACTGAGTTTCTGGTTTTCGATAAGAGATTCCAAAAAGGTAGTTGGATGCAGAGAGTGAGAGTTGGCATGGTCGCGGTGGGGGTGTGGAGGAAGAAGAACGAAGTGAAGACGTTGTGGCAAGGAAAGAGAGGAAGTGAGGGAGTGGGTGTAGGCGTCGAAGGTGGGATCAGACGGTGCTTTGGTGATAAGGACGGTGACCGAAAGTTGGTCATGGCGGTTGATGAGAAGCTTAGCGAGCTCGACGGCGGACACAAGGTGACCCATGCCAGAAGCAGGAACGAAAACTAGCTGCGATTTCTTCATCCCAGAGAGTAATGAAACGATATCTCCTGACGAGATTGTAATCAGAGCAATCTTGCTATGATAGATGATAGAGTTAAATCGTGGTTTGACTTGGCATTTTTTGTGACGCTTCATTGAATCAAATTTGTGGATGTGGTGCAGTGGTGGTCTCTGGTTTGGATAATGGAAGTACGTAAATGATAACTGTATAAGTCACTTCAGGACCACAATTTGGTTTTTTTTTTTTTTTAACCTTTTTTCTCTTTAGGTATACGATGACTATAATATTTATCAAAATATAGTACAAAGACTTTTGCTCTTCGGTAATTTTACGGGGGGATGACTATAGGGGCCAAATTAGCAAATTTATATTAATAAAGAATAGTTAAGAAAAAGATTACAAATGCTACTTAAAAATAAATATGAAAAAGACTGCTTACATGAAAATCATCAGAATCAGAACTTTTTCAAAAACTTCCAACGTGGTTTCTTTCAGGCTCTTCAATTTGTATATGAGCAAAGAACATTTTTGTTAAGTGGCGTTTCTTAGATTGTCACAATAAAAAGGTCTTTAATCAACATTTTAAAATTTTGAGATGTTCAATCATTATCAATATTTGGTCATGTCGCGTCTTCCTTAAAATTTATGTCCGTGTCCTCACAATAGTTTCCCTTTTTCTTTTTGCGTCACTGTTCACCTGCAATAGTCAAGTTCAGCGTCGTATAAAGAAATTTCAGGGTGTAAGATAAAATTATAAAATCATTCATAGTAATATCATTTGTTAAATTTTTTAAATTACAGAGTCATTAATAAAAAAATTCAAATAATGATAAATGATAGGGTCTGAGTAGAATGAACTAATTCCTTCCAATAAGGTCAAGCTTTTGAGTTTTGTAAAAAAAACGAGGGATATATATTTTTAATTGCCTGACAATGCTAACTTTTGATGTGGTAGTGTTATAAGTTCGATGATCACGTAACAAATTTATTAATAAAACGGATGTCAGGAGACGTTGCGGGCATGTATTCATAACCGTACGATAAAATTCACCGATGGAAGATTTCATCACGAGGTTGTTGCTAAAAGTAACGCATATTGTAAAAGCATGAGAATGAAAAGTTTGGCAACAAAAATGAAATGAAATTTGACGGGCAAGAATGAGGGGAAAATAAACGATAAAACAAAAATCCCCAACAACGTACCTACACTTTTAAAAAATATAAAATATTTTTAATCAAATTTTACGCTTAATAAGATAATTATTTATTTTGAAATTAATCTTATTTTTTTATATTTACTTTCATTTTAAAATAAATATAAAGTAATTTATGACACTTTAAAAAACTGATTACATCTTGAAAATTAAAAATATTTTATATTTTTAAATATTTAACCCTTTAAAAATGTTTTTAACGGAGGCAAAAAGTGTTAGTAAAATAAATTGCTTTATACCATAGGCAAGAAATCCAAGAACAATTGGTTCGCGTCATCTTAGCCATAAGATGAAGGGGAATATCCGATTATATACGAAATTACGAAGAGGGCCTTTACACAAGGATAGGGCTTCTATTTATTTCCGTTTTCCCAGCCACTTGTTTCAGCCCTGTTGGACTCTTTTGGTCGTTATGAAAGAAATGAATTGATCCCGAATCCCGATATTAAACATCCCTTTCGAGTTTTGACCTGCCAGTCTATGAAAGTATGCGCTTATTTTCTTAAATTACGATTACTACTTGTAGTTTTATATGCCTCCGTCGGTTCTAGGACTCGATCGTTACGATCAGAACGATAAACCGATCCGGTTTTTATTAGAGGGGCCAAATCAGAAATCCAAACCACGCCAAACAAATCAACGCATGAGTAGTGTAGCGATTTGTTTTTGTGTACGTGAATGATAGAGTGTTGATCCGATGACCCCAAGATCGTCGCCTATATATCTTCGTGAAGAAAATTAAAATCAGGCTAAAAGGCGTATTTTGTTAAAAAGATAATAAAAATAAGACGCGTGAAAGTGCAAAGTGGACATTCACAGGCAAAATTTTAATTATGATATGATTATTAAAAATATAAAAACATTTAATGCATGAAAAGTCACATAAAACCTACAAAACTACATGTAAAGTATACCCAGGCCACTATAAGACTCACGAAAGTAGATGATGAAGGTGGACAGGAAATCATTAAACTCCACTTTGCAGAAGCTTCCCACCCACTTGTTCATGGTCCATCATGAAAGTTGAAGTTCCATATATGGCTTTTTCAGATGTGTCATCACATAAACAATGAAGAAAATGAGAACATGCAAACATGAACAAAAAAAGAACTGATCAGTAAAGCGTCTGAAGAGTTCACACAAATGAAAGACTTTAATCCAATTCCATCACCTTTCATTCTTCATTGACGACAAAAGGCAAGTAAAATAACCGATCGACAAACATAAGCAATTGAGTGCCAGTTGATTGAGGGATCATTTCAGTTCCAATGAAGTGAGCAAATGACTTAAAATTGCTAATTGTGTGCTTTCCTACTACTAATGTTAAAAGCAAAACTGATAGTTTGAAATAAAAACTTCACTCCTAACTCAGTAAATCATGAATAAAGCGTCCTAAATAAGAGAAGGATGACCCACCCTCCATTAAAGCCTTCCTGCTCAACTCACTCATCTCCTTCACCTTCTTCCTCACCTCACCATCTTTCTCCATCACTTCTTTCATTCCCTTCTCTATTTTCTCTACACCTATCACTCTGCCCAACTCTATCCTATAATCCAATGAGATCTCCACACCCAGTTTCAACTCACGAACCAGCAGGAACGCGTTCATTTGCTGCTCAGCTGCAAGTGGCCATGTGGCAATGGGCACCCCGTAATATATACTTTCCAGTATCGAATTCCACCCGCAATGAGATACAAACCCTCCCACCGCTTTGTGGGCCAAGATTTGGGCCTGCGGGGCCCACCCTGTCACTCTCCCAATCTCAGCCGTCCGTGCTATGAATCCTTCCGGTAATACTTCTTCCGGGTTGGAGTAATCACCTGGCGCTTTCATCGAGCCCTTCGGTGGTGGCTTCCGTAGAGACCACAGAAAGTGGACGCCGCTTCTTTCAAGAGCGCGTGCGATTTCTCTCACTTGATTCTCCTGGAAATAACCCCTACTTCCGAAGCACAAGAATAGGACCGACGAAGGAGGTTGATCGTCAAGCCACTGCATAACGTGTGATCCCTGTGTCACCGTCTTGTTCTCCCCTACACTCAATATGGGTCCGACGGGATAAACAGTGAGATCACTGTTGGAGAATGACTGAACCGCATGGGATTCCAGCTCCTCGAATGTATTGACTATTATGCCCTTTGCTTTCTTCATCCTGCTCGCATGATTGAAGAAAAATAGCTTCCACTGTTTGTCCAACGTAATGCCAGGGAAAACACCGACGGGAACTTGGTTCTCAAAACTCGGGATAGTAAACTCAGTGTCCGAGTTTTCTAAGTTAAACGCGGTCGCATCTTCGTTCTCTCGCTCTTGAAGCGTGTGCATATGAAGCTTGAACCCTAGAAAAGCAGAGCCCGAGGTAAAGAATACCATGGCGGGAACCCCGAACTCGTTAGCCACGTCAATCATGCTGGTGCAGAACATGTCCAAGACGAACCCGGCAAGCCCAGGCGAGTCCGGGCCCGAGTTGAGATTGGTCACGGCGGCTCTGACGTTGGGTTTCTGGTTTTCGATGAGAGAGTCCATGAAGGCAGATGGATGAAGAGAGTGAGAGTTGGCAGGGTCGGGGTGTGGAGGAAGGAAAATGAAATGAAGACGTTTTGGGAAGGAAATAGAGGAAGTGAGGGAGCGGGTGTAGGCGTCGACGGTGGGGTCAGCCGTAGGTCTGATGATGAGGACGGTGATGGAAAGGCGGTCATGGCGGTTGATGAGAATCTTAACGAACTCGACTGTGGCCACAAGGTGACCCATACCAGGACAGGGCACGAACACTAGCTGCGACTTCTTCATCTTGGCGGGTGTAGGGTCTAGTTTCCATGCTCATCCCAAGGATGTTGGGATGAGCAGGGAGGCCAATTCCGTATATGTATATACAAAAAATATAACTCCCATGGAGATCAATATAACCGGATTGCAAATAAAAGCGAGATAGGTGGAAGTTCAAACGAGAATTGAGATACTAAGAGATTGAGAGCATCACGACAATACAATATTATATTTATATTTATATATACACACCCACGCGCGCAGAAAACGGTGTACGCCAACAGTAGAATTTGGCTGCAGCTGTATATCCTTAACAACAAATCCTACATTAAGCGAATATACGTGCAGTAACGGAGCGGTTTGTCTCGGCATAAGGGTGAAGTTGGGGGCAGATCTGTGGGGAGCTGGACGGTGCGAAGAAGATATATAACGGTAGAGTTTTTGTGATGAGTGCATAACTACTTTCTCCAGCGATATATGACACTTTTTAAAAGTATTTTTTAATTTAAAATATAAAATATTTTATAATAATTAAATTATTTTTTTAATTTTATCCTTTCTTAATTAGTGTAAAAGTATTTAATATAATTATCTTATTATTTAAAGTTAAGGATAAAAATAAAAGTGCATCTCATTTTTTTATAATATTAAAAAAAATTAATTTTTTTAATATATATAAAAACGGTTGAAAATATTCTATAATAAAGATTAGAGAGAGTATTATTTATGCATAACAAAATAGCTATAAATGCTCAAAATTAATTTGTCGCATAATGAAGTGATGCATGGAACCTGTTTGCCAAGATACTCAAAGTAATGGGCATTCAAATCTCCAATCACTTATTTAAATGACAAGAGTTTTTATTATTTGCACTAACTTTAGTTAGTTAATAAGTTCATTCAAGTTTTTAATATAATTTTATTTTTATATTTTTAATAAATTATTATTTTAATAGATTCAGAATTTAAAATAAAAATAATGTTATATGTATAACTATCATTTTATTAAAAAAATTTATTAGTTAAAAATTTTAGATTTGAACTATTGAAGTTTTGGATGACAAAAATCTCACCACAATGAAAGCACCAAAACTCATAGAGCCTGTTTGCTAGAAATGAATTAGGGTGAGGGAAGTGATGGTGAAAGTGAAATTAATATTTTTGTTTGTTTTGTATTACGAAACTCGATTCCCTCTAAAACCCAATTTCACCAAAATTGATGAGCTGATGATTGGTGAGCTGAACCATGACGTGGCGATACCCAATGACGGTCGCACGGATTTGGCTGTTTTGCGTAGAAGCACCCGTCCAAGAACACTCACGTGGAAGCTACGAGAGGGGCAAGAGGGATAAAATGCATGTGCATGCAATAAGTGGAAAAACAGTGTGTGTAATTGTAATTGGTCTCTCTCTCCTTTCTGTTATTTCTCCTCCTTTCTCTGGTAATTCTGTTCTGTTATCGTTTCCTTTTCTGAACCATATTTCTGCTGTATTTTTTTCTGATGAACTCTGCAATGCAATTTACTGATTAATACCAGAAGAATTTCCCATATTTTGCGGTATTCATTTTATTTCCTGAGATAAGGTGTGACAATGGCGTATGAATTTGTTTGCTAGTCTTCATGTTAATAAAGCTTTGCCTTGTGATTCTTGTATCAAGGCCAAGCAAACTAGACTCCCTTTTCATGAAAGTTCAATAAAGACTGTTGATTGTTTTGAGCTAATTCAATGTGATGTGTGGGGTGCTAACCAAGGTGAGTCATTTAGTGGAGCCCATTATTTTCTCATCATAGTTGATGATTTTAGTCGTGGTGTTTGGGTCTATTTAATGAGACAAAAATCTAAGGTTGCCACTCATTTGATAAATTTCTTCAATTTAGTAGGAACCCAATTTAATTAGAAAATAAAGAGGGTCCGTACTGACAATGGCTTGGAATTTCAATCTAGACAACTTATGGAACAATGTGCCTTCAAAGGAATTGTTATTGAGAAATCATGCCCATACACCCCGCAACAAAATGGGGTTGTGGAACGCAAACATAGATACATTCTTGAGACTGCAAGAGCACTCTGATTTCATGCTCGTTTACCACTTGAGTTCTGGGGAGAATGTGTTTTGAATGCTATATATCTCAAAAATAGGTTGCCCTCTCAAGACATAAATAATAAAACGCCAAATGAATTATTGATGGGGCATGCTCCTACATATAATCATCTTCGCATTTTTGGTTGCCTTGTGTACGCTCACAACACTAATGGGAGGAGTAAGTTTGATGAAAGGGGGAGGATCTGAGTTTTATTGGCTATCCACATGGAACAAAAGGATATCGTTTATATGATCTTGAGACTGGTCAAATATTTGTCCCCCGTGATGTCAAATTTTTTGAGGATGAATTTCCTTTCATTTACACCAATCCCATCCCCACAGCACCACATCCTATGCATGACAAATTGCCACCTGTTGTCGCCGACGATGATGTGCTTAGGGAGGCAACGATAAGGACGTTGGAGAGGTAACGGTGGCGATACATGGTGGTGAGACATAGCGATATTAGTTGACAGAGAGCTTAGGGTTCGTTTTTTATTTTTGCCCTTGATTTCTAGTATGTGATTTTTGATTTTGACATCGGCATTTTTATTGGAGACCTCAACATCATACGATATCGATTCCTGGTCTAGATTTTGAGTTTGATTTTGTTTCTGATCTTTGATTTTGTTTTTGATTTTGAAATCAAACATCGTTTCTAGTATGGTGGTGGAGATGTTGAAATTGTGAATTTTTGGTGGTGGACAATGGCTTTTCACAAGTGGTCTGAGTGGCAAGACGATGACAGTGGACCTGATATGTTTGGTGGAGAGAAGAATGATGAGAAGACCAGGTGCCACTAAAATTATTTAATCTCTCAAGTTTTAACTTAGTTGTAATTGAGTCTGTAAAATTTAATTCAATGCAACTGATTCCTTTAAGTTTTTACTATTTAAATTTTGGGGACTAATTGATAAATCTTTCCCCCACAGAGGGTAAGGCCAAGTTGTGGGTGCAGGGAGAGAATTTTCATGGTTGTCCATATAAGAATTTCTTGTGCAGGGCCTAACTGGCTGATAACATTATTAGAATCAGACCAGACCAGTTGTTCGACCGGTTTACCAAGAAACTGGCCAAGTAGTTCGTCTGAAAGTGAGGTATAACCAGGAAGAGAGGGAATCCCCTGTGAACTGTATGAACCGGATGTGAATTGGGAAGAACCAACAGTTTAGATAGTTCAAGTGGTTCCCTCTCTCTGTTTTTTTTTCCCCCAATTTCACAGTACAATCTCGATTGTGTGTGTGTGTTTTTTTTTTTTTTTTAAAAAAAAAATGACAGAACGCTGGGAGAAGAACAAAATGGCAAAAACACACACTGCCTCACATTCGCAAATCGCACCCTAAACCTAAACCTCTCTTGCAATTGAGCTTAAGCCTTCATCATCGTCTCCCATCATCTTCCTCATTGCACTCGTCATAGATCTGTTGTTCCTCTACTTGTGATGTTCCTCTCTAACTGTCATCTTCCTCATCAAAGGTCCGCCGGTGCTTTGTTTGCGTTTGTGACTCTGTTCATTGTTACTGTTTTCCTCTTTGATTCCTTCATCTCACGGCTCTATCATCCTCAGTCCGTGGCCTTCTTGGCTTTTCTTTCTCTTTCCATTCATCTTTGATCGCAGCACCCTTCATACTTAATACTTCATGGTCGTTAAAAAATATTTCATTATCCAGTGGTTTTGGATGCGTGCTATTTTGTAAGTTTTGATTTTGATTATTACTTTATTATTAACTTTTTCCTTGAGTTTATTAGTTTAACAACTAAAATTTTTAATATATAATATTTAAAATATATTAATTTAATTACAAACAATTTAACCTTGGTCCTACCCTTAAATGGTGAACTAGTGTCTTAGTGGATTCTATTCTAATAACATTGCTGCTCCTTGAGCTATCAGCTTTTATATTTAAAAAAAAATTAAATTACACGATTTGGTTCTAGTCAGATCGAGTTATGTATTTCATGGATAAAAAAATGTGCATATGGATTTGGCAAAAATTGAGATATGAATTTATGATATTTTGGTAAATTATCTTCAAATCATAGTAGTCTGTAAATATTCTTGTATAGCCTTGTGGTAAAATTGCCAAAATGAAGCGAAGAAGGGAGACGGGTAGAAACTAACTATACTAAGAAAGCTGGTCTCCCACTCTTATCACTGAGTTATTCCGTGCTTTCATGGGTTTGAATGAATGATGATGGAATGAAATATTAATCAGAATGATATTATTTGCTTTGTTATTAAAATATTAGAATAGAATTCATTGTATCTGTTATAAAAATAGAAAATGAAACGACACGTTTAATTTGCTTATGTGCAATTTTTTTCCCCAGAGGTATGGCCTATCCATGAAATCCTATTATGATATCTCTGAAAATGTTGGCACTGAAGTTCAAAAAAGATAAGCAAACACTCTTAATCCTCCAATAGAATTCATGTTCCCATTCCTTGGTGGACAGAAATGGAGCCAAAGGCACTTGAAAGTTTAACCTTTGTACTCTTTTTATGATTAATATAATTACATAATTTTTAAGCAAAAGGAATAAGGCTAAGCTTCATTGATAATAGAAACTATCTCCCTCAAGATGCCTTTAAGTTACGAGAGCCTTTACAACTCATGTTAATTTTAATTGGTTAGTTTCACTTCTACATTAAAGAAGTTCATTCTTTGGTTGATCAAGCATTGATATGGGCCCAGGTTGCAATTTATGATTGAATCTCCCAGTTTCGGCCTTTTAGGCAAAATCTCCTATTGTAGAGTGTTCTTGGGCTTATGTTCACTTGAATTGACATTATCTTTTATTTGCATACTATACTCTGTGCGTGCGTGTAAATCATTTCTTTGGAGAAATTTATGATAATTTTACAAGTTGCTTTACATGAGGAATAGACCATTAATTACCTTATTTCAATTTTATCCTCCTGCAGCTTCCAATGAGAGATGAGTATTTTAAATGTTGATGTATTTAATAAAAGTAAAATATAAAAAATTATTTTCAAACAATATCAGCAATTTATCTACCCTTTATTGATTTTGATGAAGTAGTTACAATTTTCAAGTGATTTATGTATAAGACGGCACTGCTTATTTTGTTAAACTTCAAAGTAAAGGCACCTTCGTCTTCAGCTAAAGACATAGGCCATTCTTTAACAGTTTGACACTTTGACTAGAAGTTTAAAGGGGGAAAAAGTATTATTTTCTCCTCTTTCTGATATTAGTCATCATTTTCGCCCATTCCATTTCTTCTCTCTCTGTTTTTTTAATACA